CAACGTTTAGGATACTTGCACGTTTAGTTCAGCGGGATAATCTCCACATATTAACACCACTTTATGATTTCTAAAGTAAGAAGCTAATGTTGGGCCATAAAGGAACTACAGCACGGTCACATGACTTCACGTCACCACCGCTAAGCTAAAGGCAGCCAATGTTGGGCTATAGAGGAACTACAGCACGGTCACATGACTTCACGTCACCACCGCTAAGCTAAAGGTGGCTAATGTTGGGCTATAGGGGAACTACAGCACGGTCACATGACTTCACGTCACCACCGCTAAGCTAAAGGTGGCTAATGTTGGGCTATAGGGGAACTACAGCACGGTCACATGACTTCACGTCACCACCGCTAAGCTAAAGGTGGCTAATGTTGGGCTATAAAGGAACTACAGCACGGTCACATGACTTCACGTCACCACCGCTAAGCTAAAGGTGGCTAATGTTGGGCTATAGAGGAACTACAGCACGGTCACATGACTTCACGTCACCACCGCTAAGCTAAAGGAGGCTAATGGTAGGCGTGATGACGTTTAGTCGTCTCATTTAGGCAATTGTTAGTTTAATTACTGACGTGTTTTATGCCGTAAAATAAAAAATCTCTTCAGCTTGTGTTAACCACACTTTATTTCAGGCTAACAACCAAAAACGGGTTCAGAAATCCGTTGACCTCCAGACAAGGGGACAGGAAGTCATGTCAGGGTCTCATCTCTGCTGAAAAGCGAACCGTTTCTCATTGTGTTAGTAACGCGTGTGTGTGTTGCAGCTTTTGGACCTCTGCATCTTGGACATCAACTCCCTGGACTACAGCTACTGCGTTCTCGCCGCCGCCGCATTCTGCCACTTCTCCTCGTTCGACGTCGTTCATAAAGTCTCAGGTGAGTTTCATTTCCCCACTTGGACGTCCGATTTAAAACTGAAGACATTCTTTTTCGTCACAATTATCTTGGATTTTATTTCGAACGTGTAAAACGATCTACATAATTACACATCCGAAATATGATTTTATTTGTATATTATAACTTTTTTTATGTGTAATTTTTTACTAGTTAAAGTGGTTTGTATTTAGTCTATTTGACTTCTTTGTTTTATAGAGTGATTTATATTATTGTATACCTACTGCTTGGGTATATTTGACTCCGTATCCTAACGTGTGTGTGTGTGTGTGTCAGGCCTGACGTGGGACTCCGTGGCTCCCTGTGTGCGATGGATGAGTCGCTTCATGGACACGCTGCGGACTCAAACCAAACCTCAACTCAAGAACTTCCCCAAAGTGAAATCTGACGCGCGGCACAACATCCAGACACACGTGGCCTACCTGGACCTGCTGGTGAGCAAAACCAACGCACCACACGGCTTCAACAAGGGTTTTCAAAATAAGAGTGGAGTAAATACTGGGTGGGCTTTTCCCCAAAATAGGAGCGGGGCTATCAAGGTTTACTGGGTAGGAGGTTTCCAAAATAAGAGCGGGGTTAATGCCGTTCAAAGTATAGGCGGTTTTCAAAATAAAAGTGTCATTAAAATAGTAGCGGGGTTAATATAAATGTTCGGGGTTAATGAGCTTACTGAGTTGGAAGTTTCCAAAATAAGAGCGGGGTAAATATGTCTTACTGGGTTGTAGGTTTTCAAAATAAGAGCCGGGTTAATGCGGTTCAAAGTATAGGAGGTGTCAAAATAAAAGTGTGGTAATACTGTTAACTTGGTGGGAGGTTTCCAAAATAAGAGCGAGGTTAATACGGTTTGACTGGTTGGGAGGTTTTTCTGGGTTATTTTCAAAATAAGAGCGTGGTAAATATGGATTATTCTGTATAAGATTTCCAAAATAAGAGCAGAAAAGGATGTGATTTTAAAGCTTGTTAATAACAGAAGCTACCAAAATAAGAGCGGGATGTGTTTTTGAGGATATACATTATGTAATGAGAGCGAAATTAGATTGTTAAGGATAGTTAATAAAGGAAAAGCTTTATTAATGCAAACAGCATGTGTTTTGGGGATTGTAAATAAAATAGCTCCCAAAATAAAGGGCAGTATTCAGCATCTCTGGTCAAAGCTAGTAATAACTCACGCTGGTGTTTTTCTGCAGAGGAAATCTCTGGATCGCCCTGACAGCCCCGAGTGTCAGCTGTCGCCCGTCGCCGTGGGAACGGTGTTGACTCCTCCCAGCAGCACAGAGAAGCCGGCCAATCACTGAGCAGCGCAGAGGAACTGGCCAATCCGTGAACGGCACGCGACCAAGAGGACGCGCCCCTCCGTACAGTGTTCGACTCGTCAGTGAGACGGGATTTTAAGAGACCTCATGTAGCACGTTTTCATTATTTTAAACACTAAATCTGGATCTGATTCCTGTCCGCCTGCTTTTTAAATCATTTGTTTTTAAACAGGAATTATTGGGCAACTTTTAATTGACAGGTTAATTAATGTGAATGTTTGCCTCCACCTGTTCCTGCCGTGAACAAGTGGAACGCTGTGCTTTGTTTTAAATCTAACGTCATGTTGGAGTGGAAACGTCGGGTATTTATCTGGTGCTTTTTCCGAAATGGGGAAACTTGAATATGAGGAATCGTCTACATTTCATTCTGCTCTGAACTACAGAGGTTAAAGTATTTAA